GATATTGCTATTACATCACACCCTATGTTTCCCAAGGAAACTGTTTCTTCTATTGACTGTCAAAAAAGTCTTCGTGGCGTCAGAAAAATGTGCAATGAAAGTGGAGACCATGACAACATGCTAATTAAAATAGTCCGAGTATTTATGATAATTACATACTTGTGTTGAATATCAGACTTCAAACATACATACTTACACATAACTTAACATTATTAATATTGTCATATTTTTAGATTATTTGAAATCGTCCCAAATTTCAGGTTAACCTCAACAAGAATGTGCCTCGATAGCATGTCAAACTTTCCTAGACGTGTAAATCATTTTTTAACGTCTTGTTGTTTTTTTTATACTGCTCGCAACAAAAGTAAATGTTCTAGTGCATAAGAGACTCAGAGAGGTCGTGCGACCAGCAGTATCTAAGATGAACCATATTTTCAAGGGCTGTTCTGGCATCTGGAAGAATCTGATCACGCAAGCACCGATAACTAACAATTGTAGTTGTCTCCAGATTTTCATTTTATCTCCAACAATACGTTCTCATCATCTTCAGCAAAAGAATTTTTAAGCATTCTGGAAAGTTTCTCCTCAACCAATCTAGTGGGAGTAGTGATGATCTTTCATATACAAGAATGCATTTTGACATCTTCCTTTCGCTGACCACTGCCATCAAGAGGCAATTCTAAGAACACAATCATCAGAAGATCATCCACCACCTCAAGGTTTCGGCGGTAATGAGTAATCTGAAGAATTTTAGATCTAATTAATAAAAATGAGATGATTTTTCACAGGGGATTAGAAACGTGACCCTTGCCGTCTATAATATGAGCTGCCCCTTTCCATCTTATATGAAAACCTGCCATAATAAAACGGCTATGATTAAGCTATAAAATGTAATGAATAGTCTAATGAAATAACCTTGACTTAATCTAACCCTGTCATATATCACTGTTACGTGATGTCATGTACACAAAATGAAGATAGTCCTCGGGATTAGACGATGGATTGAGAGTTACACCTGGTAATCCTCTTGGTACTCCCACTTAATCCCCCTTCTCTAATATAATTATAGAGGAGTCTGGGTTAAACGCTTGAAGTGTTAAATGTCCTGAACTTTAACTTCAGTCATGTAGCTCATCACCTGCATTCTTGATTAAGATGAACCTGCCCCTGTTTGACTCTTAACTAACTCGTGGTTTTCGCATTTGCTTTAGGAGCTGAAAGATCTTCAATCACCTCATCTATAGTTTATTTAAGAGTGAAAATCTGGTTCTCTTGCAATTGAACGAGGACGTAACGTAGGAACTTGAAACTTGGCTGCTTGGATTGTAGTCACAGTATGCTAGATAAAGAAAGAAAGAAACACCATTTTTTACAAGGAAAACAGCATTGGGTCCTTTATACCAGCTGTTCGTTGACCTCGACCAAACCTTTTGGAATTGATCTTACCTAGGTCGATTGGAATAATGAGAAAATATGACTCAGTCAAGGTCACAAAACTTTCTTAGTTCCTACGACCACCATCTTTTGTTCGACATAACCAAGAATAGACGCCATGTTCAGTTTCCAAAGCTTCTACCGATTGTGCAACAGAACCCCTCAAACGATAACAAGGCAATCAATAATACCAATATAAAAATTCTACATTGCATTATGTTACGAGTCGTCTTATCTTGAACGAAACAAATCACTGTCTTTGACAAACGGCATTTTGTCATTTTAAATGTACTCGTCAAGCTCATTTGTAACGAGTTGAAGTCGATCTGTCACAGTCGAGTACCAAGTGTAGTCTTGCACATGTTACAATGTGAAGTATCAGTTTTGACCTTTCACAGCTTTTAAAAATATCGACTCGTTTCAATCTAAATTTTTCACAGTAATTATCTGATTTAGTTTCTATATATTACACAATAACCTTAACCTTTCAACACAACTCAAACCTTATACCATTTAAACAATGATGTAGGCTATAGATTTCAACTAACTAATATATTAATAACTTAACAGATGTGGTTCTCGTAATATTTTCTAGCTCATGATGTTATGAGGTAGACCACAAAACCACTTCATTAACTCAGAGCAGTTAACCAATTTATTAAATGATAGGTCATGATTTATAATCAACGAAACGAAACCCCAGGAAAATAGTAATGTTAAAGAGAAAATTCCACAAGGACAGTCACCAGAACCTCGGTGTCTATTTGTATTGTATGTTTATTTTTTGCCTTTGTGTAGCAATTTATTTACACCATAGTAAATATTATGCTCTACTGGAGTTCATCACATTCTGTTTGGACCTTTTGATACTTTAAATGTATCTTGGCGACGATATTGTAAATTGTAAATCCCCTTGCCTGGATTATTTCAATTTATGTCTTGATGGTCTTGCTTTGCCATCAGTCCACGATTAAGACGACCACATTAGGAAGACTGGGTTCACGATTCTCATTGATTCTGCTATCAGGAGTGCTAGCCAGAAATATGGTTCTTTCAAATGGAACAGGGTATATAGACGATAAGGCTTATTTCTGTCGAATACTCTAAGATAAATGAGAATTGTTCTAAAATTGATTTGTTTGAGGCGAATTATTGTAATTTGATGTCAATATCTATCAGACTATATCTCATATTATTTCAATCATCTTGTAACGTCTATTTCCTTCTACTGATGAGTTTGACGAAGTTACCAAACTGTATTGTCATTATAATCTGTCCAATTTTCAATATATTTGTACCGATGTAAAGTTATTGAAACAGTTTCTAGCTTTGATTGTGTATTGTTGACACGTATCACTTCTTTTTGATACATTTCTTCTGTGGTCTGGTACATGCAGGGAAAAAGATTTGGCAAGATTATGACGTCATTTCATAAAAAAGCATTCGAGACAAATGATATTTGCGATAGTAACGTCACAGCCTGTGTTTCTTATTGAGAATACTAAACTGAACTATCAATATCATGATTCCAATTTGTAGCTGAAATTCTCAATGTCTATAATGGGCTGGTCTACTGACTGCTTTCAGAAGAGGGTGTTCTAAAAAGACGTTTTGGTCCCTCGATCGGTGTATAGCAGACAATCTATGTCTTGGTGTTAAACTGGAAATTAAGAATTTTCTATAATCGTGAGCGCAATAAACAAGAGACAAATAACATGTAATAAAACGAGAAGGTGCTGTTCAAATGCCTTTGATCTTCAAAAGCCGTTATTAGACATAAAAAGAATGGAAATCGCCTTTTCTTTGATCTTTTTATTGAAAATTTGAAGCGTATTAAATGTACTTTGAATTGTTGCAGTAATTTTAATTTGTTACACCATCGAGTTTGTGTTTCTTGCAATATTGATCACCAACTTATCTTTCCAGAAGACATCCCCATCTTGACAATGTTAATATTGTACCAACTTCATGCTTATACCTTGACTGCAAGAGCCACCTTTCTTGTATCACAAGACAAGAATTGTGGCTATTGCTGTCAATTTATAATATTGTATAACATTGTGAAGAAGGGACATCCCTTTTGGCAAGTAATAACTTGCACGTTTGTTCGATGTCATTGAAAAACATGGAAAAATCCATTAACAATTATACCCATTTTGGAATATAATTTGGTCAGTTACATGTATTCTTGCAGATCTGGAATGTCAATCATATTTGATATAAAAAAAAATTGTGATAAGAATAATTTTTCAAATATGGTAGTTGGTACCTCATTTGAATTTGTTCATATATTTCAATACATACAAGTAGATAGATGATGGAATCGCCTTACAATTGGACTGAAAGCGATTTACAACTAGGCCTGTGCTTTTACCAGATTGTTATTACCATTACTACATCGTACTTCATGATAACTCTCAAGAGTAAAACTGTTACAATCTCTGATAGATAAGTTATGTGGAACCTCGATTCATTTCACATAGATACCCCTAAGATTCACCTATCTCTACAGGAAAAAAATAATACACTTTTCAATTACATCGATAACAGCATTTTTACCTGTGTTCAAATCACGTTTATTTTCGTACATTTCTTTAATGGAAATTTTACCGCAGACATAAAAAAACCACATTGAATTCACCTGCTTTTCAAATCTTGTTTTAGTTGATAAGAGGTTCATTAAAGAAATTCTCTTAATATTTATCTTAATGTTCTATCATCACTCTAATAAACATAAACACGAATATTAAAATTCCTCTTCATCAAAACCTGCATAAGATTACATCTTGTTATTGCTTGATGCCAAATTGTTCGTGGTTATTTATTATATTTGATAGACCGTTTCTATTTCCAGTCGAAATTTCAAGTGAAATTATGTGAGTTGCAGAAAAAATGATGTGCCATTAATCAGGGATTTATTCTTTAATTTTAAGCACGTATGTACGTATAAATGGGTATTGCAGACCAGCGGCAAAAGACGCTCGTGTACTGCAAGAGCGCTTCTTGCACAATAAGTATATCTCACGATAACGGATTCTTAAGTGCGAGTGTACTGTATGAATGTACAATATCACAGGTCGCTCATGAGATGAAAGAGTGCTTCTGGCTAACTAAGCGTAACACTTGAAAACGGATAATGTGTGTCCAGAGTTTAATTATTCCTGCGATATTAACATATTGATCCTTTTTAAATGATTTCTTAAACAGTGTCCACACACAATCATCGTTACAGACTAGCTGATTGCAAGAGTAGATGGCAAATGATAGGGCCTTGTAACTTGAGACGCAATTTGAGACCAAGTTCTTAAAGAAACCACTAATTTGTGTATGACGTATTCAAAGCTCTTAACTTCCTTCTAAGAATTATAGTTTCGACATAGAAAAGAAAAATTACTTATTTTAAAGTTCAATCCTTCGTCAGTAGATATATGTAGGCTTAATTTACATTTTCATGTAAATGAAGATAAATTTTACATATGTCCTTGTGGTAAGGTACAACATCATCATAACTATTCTAAAGGAAGGTCCAGATCGGCTTTTCAAAGAGTCTTATCAGATTCATCGCAATGGACGTGAGCGAAATGGTCATACCGAGCAACTGACCGCCTAAAAGCTCCTGGATGGTCAAAGAGTGTACGGCCCTGTGTAATATATGAATTCCTAGCAAACGTTGATAAATAATAATTTGTGAAAAATTAGCCTGAAAAAAAGGTTTTGCTATAAAAAACACGCATGAATAAAAGATGATAAACTACTGTCGCTTCAGTGAGCAAATTAAATACAGTTTAGATGTGAATTTGAAAGTTATATATTTTAAATGTTAAAACTAATATATGCATATCTTGTTACTCCCCATGTTACATTTCAATTTGTTACCATTAAAGTCCAGCTCACAGGAACGTCAATGTTTTTCTATATTTGTTGGATCGGACGGAATCTGTTCAATTGACCGATGTAATGGAATCTTACAAAAAATATAATGTTTGGAGAAAATGAGAAATGAGAGCATAAAGAAGATGATGATGAAGAAGAAGACGATGATGACGATGATGAAGAAGAAAATAAAGAAGCAGAAGAAGAAGGAGGAGGAGGAAGAAGAAGAAGAAAATAAAAAAGGGAATAAAAGAAGAGAGAAAAGAAGATAAAGAAAAAGGAAATGAAGAGGAAGGAAGGAAAGCCAGAAAGAAAGAAGAAAGGGAAGAAATAAAGAAGAAAGATGAATAAATACAGGAAGAAGAAGAAGAATTACAGGAGGAAGAAGAGATAAAGGAGGAAGAAGAAGAAATAAAGGAGGAAGACGGGATAAAGGAGGAAGAAGAAGAAATAAAGGAGGAAGAAGAAATAAAGGAAGAAGAAGAGATAAATGAGGAAGAAGAGATAAAGGAGGAAGAAGAAATAGAGAAGGAAGAAGAGATAAAGGAAGAAGAAGATAAAAATGAGGAAGAAGAGGTAAAGGAAGAAGAAGAGATAAATGAGGAAGAAGAGATAAAGGAAGAAGAAGAGATAAATGAGGAAGAAATAAGGGAGGAAGAAGAAATAAAGGAATATGAAGAAATAAAAGGAAGAAGAAGAAATAAAGGAAAAAAGATGAACTAGAAGAATTGAATGAAGAAAAAGACCTAGAGGAGGAAGAAGAAGAAATAAAGGAAGGAGAAAAAATCAATGAAGAAGAAAAGAAAGAAGAAGAAAAAATCAGAAAGAGAAGCAATGTTAGTGGAACTGTACTGTATATTTGAAATTTTCATTTAACGCAACAGTGCTGCCCAATTGTACATTACACCTTAATGGATTAACGCAATTAATGATCTACAAAATAGATTTGAGATATTTAAATTTGAACTTTTAAATTACAGTGTACTGCAGTCCCCACACGTATTGTTAAAACTTGAAATATAGTTCAATCGTTTATTTACATAGTCAGCAAATTGTTAATGACATGCAACATGCGTTTGAAAGGCGGTGTAAAATTTGCCGACATGGTTTTATACACAATTTAAATGGTTTCTTTGATATCTTTGATAATCTGTGTTAACATCGGCTTAACCTCGTAGTGAAATATGAACATCTATAAAGAGAATTGAACTAATTGCCTGCAGATTGTTTCATTTCCATAACCAGAAGGTCCTTTCGGACTTTTTTTTTCCATTGGAGCCAATTCTGGACATATGCTTCCTATTCTGTTTTCTCTAAAAAAGTTACCATGTGTTAAAAATCAAATTTCAAACCCCACTGGCCTACAGGCGAGAACACAAACATGCACAAGAACGTATTCTTTGCCCTTTTGAAGTTTTAATGTTGAAAACTTTGAGAAGTCGGACACCAAAACTTGAAGGTCAATTTGACATTCACTGTACCATATATGAAGAAACCAATGACAAAGTTCTGGGATCATCTCATTGCTGAACTGTATCTGGACGATTGGACATAAAACGGGAAACATTAGGCTATGTCGCAAACGGTCTACCCTGAAATCTCTGCTGGCGCTCTGGAACAGATTCGGTTGTTATGGAAACTGTGGAGGATTTCTAAATGCTAATGTCGTTGTAGGTGGTTTAACAATACTTGGTGTTACCTTAACGGCTCAAGCGAAAAGGAAGGCGTACAACTAAAATTCATTATATTTAAAAAATTTGATTGCATCAGCAATGTACCTTAGTAATTTCTAATTACACGAAAGTGCAAATTGTGTACCAGAATACACGTTTAAAGGTAATAATAAAAAACCACATAGGGGGTCTATGTATCTCTTCAAAAAATCTTATTACATGTTCAAAATATCTCCTTTTTTAATTGCTATTTGCCAACAAAGCAGAAAAATCTATAAATTTAGTATTGGGTTTCAAAGTTAAAATGTAGACGTGTTTCGGTGAAAACGTAAAAGATTAAAGTGATATGTTTACTTATTTAATTTTATGAAATGTTAGAATTTTATATCTACTTTTTAGAGACTAAAGACAACAATAGTCAATTGTTTTATATCTCTTTCTAGAAAGACTTGGTAGAAGATTTCACAGTTGCATAATCCAAATCTCAAATTTACATGCCACACGTACGACTATCATAAAATGTTATTATCAAAATGTCTTCGGAGATAAGTCACATATTTGCAACTTTCATGTTTGCTTTGATTTCAAAGCGGATTGCATTTTTTTTTATACATCCGCTAACTGAATTAAAGTGACAGATGCGCCATTTTTATTGACCAATTATACTCTATTCTCAGAAATGGAAATTGTTTAGCTAAGCCAATCAGTAATAGTGTTGACAGCTCACCGCCGAAATTTGAGCCTTCAAATCCACATGTGTCCAGAATTATCCGCGTTTGAATGTTAAAATGACGACTCGTTATTTTAAGATACTCTGTGATGTATAAAAAAGGCTATAAATAGAAATAAAGATTAAAATTCCTAGTTTTTTCCTATTTTTAAAAGAATTTTGGGATTTTCTAACATTTCTCGTACTTCTGAAGATTATTTACATATATTCAGACTAAAATCAACTCCCCAAATATGGCGCATCTGTCTCTTAATAGTGTCTTACTCAAGGATTTAAGAGTCCTATTTCTATGTCTGAACTAATGTCATTACAAATAGATACACGTGTTTGTCGTTCTATTACCACGTCCGTTACTACGATTGACGTTGCTACATTGCGAGTGATGCCATTTTATTGCAACGACCGACTGATATAGTTATCTTTTTATGTTCATTACGAGTGATGCTGCTTTTGTGCTTCCACTACCACAACTACTGTGACTGGTGTAGGTCTATTTCTACGTTTCCATTTCCATAAAAAAAAACGCTGACGACCTAGTATATATATTTGAACTGTATTTGTGAAATAATTGTCAGAATGAATGTTCAGGTTGTAATATGTTGGTTAAACACTGAAGAGCTAGTATATATATTTGAACTGTATTTGTGAAATAATTGTCAGAATGAATGTTCAGGTTGTAATATGTTGGTTAAACACAGAAGGTGGGAAGTAATCAGTTCTAATATAATAGAAGACATACTCTATCATCTTGACAGTTCAATTTCTTCTCCTAACATCTTCAACTCTTTACAGATCGTCCATCAATATAACTTCATACTCTGCTGAATTTAATTCTGCAATTTACAGTAGTTCCCAGTCTGATTCAAATATTATGAATGACTCGATGGACATTTTCAAGTCCAATACACGCTAATATGAATTTATTCTGCTCTTGAGATAGGAAATGTGGCAATTGTCAAACCACAAAAGAACAAAAAGGTGTATTTTTACAATATATATATATACAAAGAATGAATTCCATGAAATTTTTTCACAATAAAAAGACAGAACACTTTAAAATACTGGTCATGAGTTATAATATCACCATTTTGACACTGTGATGGATTTCGTGTTTTTTTCACATCACTTAACACCTAGTTTTAGAGGAATTGCAGAAACCACAGATATCCGATTGAAAATTGGCATGGTGCACATTGATGCTATCAGTGTCCCCGATTCACTTTAGAAAACCTTTTTGCAATCCTTTTAAACTCTACAAAAGTTCGTGTCATAAAGGCAACCTGTATCGCTTTTTTATTGTTGATATCATTTCCAGGTTATATTTCTATAACCTACAGTTAACCCCATTTCTTTTCAACAAACTATCGGGAAAATTGAATCAATTTGTAGCAAAATCGAATACATGTTGTTCATTACAAATTTAAGGCTCTATATTTATTTCAAGAGTCTTATAAATTGAAATCTTACAGTGCAATTCCGCTACTACAAATTGAAGAAAAAAATTGTTACCGACAAGAAACGAGTGGATGATTTATACAAGCTCAATATTGATTGACTTTCAGTTCACATTCATTTCACATCTTTCAATTAAATTTCTGTTAAAACTTAAGACATTTGACAGCTGATGGTGGTATAAGATAAATAGAGGACTAATATTTAAATGGTTTAGTTTAAAATACACAGATTGATAAAGTAGATGATTTGACACTGATGTAGCCAATGAATAAGATTTTTTTAAGAATTCAAACGGCAAAATACATTTCTTCTTATTAAGAATTTGCTGATGACATTCACTTATGCATATATCAATGTCAAGTCAAGTAAAATTCCTATACCATTTGATATTTCGAAAAGAAAACCCTCTTACTCGCTCTCTGAGAGGCTTTTACCAATGACGCTTCCAAAACAAGCCATATTTATTCCCCACTAGACCTGTCTGTTAGTGCCGCCACTGTTTATTTGTGGAATTGGACTATGACCTATTTTTCTTAGGGAAACAGGGTGACATGTCTGCGCTCACATCAATGTTTCAGAAGCACTACTGATAAGATTCAGAGGCGCAACTGATATTTGGTCAATACCAGAAAATTCAGAGGCGCTACAGATATCTGGTCAATCCCAGAAAGTTTCAGAAGCGCCACTGTTAAGTTTCAGAAGCGCTACTGATAAGTTTCAGAGGCGCTACTGATATCTGGTCAATACCAGAAAGTTCAGGAATGCTATTGATATTTGGTAATAGCAGAAAGTTCAGAAGTGCACTGATACATGCTTATGGTTCGATACCGTACTGTTTCGTCATGATCTTGATAATGTGTGTATATGGTTCGATACCAGAATGTCCAGTCCTGATCTTGATAGATGGCTCATACAGGACAATTTTTGGGCGGATATTGATAACATACATGTGTGACTCAATACGAAAACGTCCAGTATATGACCAATGGTTATTGTATTCTATATATATTCATAAGTATATCTGATGATAATTTTAATACCTTGTCACAGATTTACTAATTACTATGACTATTTATTCATTGACTAAACTGACTATCTACTATTATAACATTTCGTGCTGAAATGAAAGTTGAAAGAGAGGAGATGATAGTCTTTATTATATACCAATTGAAATCCGATACCAGTCGTTACGGACTATTATTAAATCAAACCATGTCCAGTCCGCGGTTACTGGGGATTGAGAGGTGTTTGGTCAAATAACTTATAGGTCAAAAGGTACAAGCGAAAATATGAGGGATAAAATGTGGTGACCTATTTATTAGAAATAAACAAAAATCTGTTCCCATGTGATAAGATCAATTACAGATGATTTTTTTCAATAAATACCAATAAAACTTCGCAGGTTTTCATCAACTTTCCTAGAATAGTTGGTAAAACGATCTTCCAATAGATTGACTCATTATACATAAACTACAAAATAGAACGTTTTCTTTCATCGGTGTAATTGCATCATACTGTTCAAGATATTACAATTTAACTTCAGCAATTCATAATTTTTAAAGAGATAAGTGTTAAAAAATAAGTTTAAAAGTACTTGTAGATGATGAAGTACGGTACAACATAATGCCAACTCAACAGAACACAAGGGTGATTACGAATAAGTAGAATATTAATAAAAGTGCAGTTTAAATTAAAGTATATGTGTAAACTAAATATCGAAGCAAAACAAAATAGATGATATGGTGAGTGCTGCACATATAAAAATAAAGTTTAATATTAAAATCACCGATAAACAGCATGTTTGAAATCTGAGATCAGAAAAGGAACCAAAATGTCCAGGAATACATAAACATTTCTTAAAGCTT